ATAAAAATGCATGTTCGTGACGTGTATGGTGGCTACAGTTGAACCAAAATCTTATAAATTGTTCATGAGTGTTTTAAGCAGTTCAAAAAACGAGTAGATCGTGTTTTATCAGGTATAAAAGCACTCGCCTACGCCTCGTGCTTTTATACCTGATAAAACAYTCCTACTCGTTTTTTAAACACTACAAAACTTATGTATAATTAACATCAACCTACATACTTTACGTACTTGTAAATTTGTGTTCAACCAGATGAACAGCAGCTATGATTGACTTTCAGAATCGTCTTTAAATAGCCCTCGAAATATCCGCCATTTTTAAAGTGCCAGTCAAGTATAACCGGAAACGGTTTGCTACTCTCGGATGAGGTCGGAAAAAGGCGCCATTTTGAATTTTAATCAGGTCCTTTTGAATCATCCCTCATAAAGCTCTACCGGGAAGACACGATGTAGATGGGGATGCTTTCAGTTTTGGCTGGCTATATTCACGGCATTCAATATTTCATTCGTTTTAATTAGATGCGAAACCTTAATCACTGAACGAAACACTTGCTTCTGAAGAGTTTATTGATGATTCGATTGGAGAGGCCAATTCTGAGCTGAATATTGCCCAAGAAGAAGAAGAAGAAGAAGAAGAAGTATATGCGACCAAGAATAAAGATACTCGGTTCGTCAGGCCGACCTTGCCAGACTCTTTGTATAGACAAGATGTTGTGGCAAGCGCATAAGAAACTTCAAAGCAAAAGTGAGTGACAGAATTGTACAAAATTCAGTGAAAGTTTTTATTGTACTCTTTGGAAGAAAAATGCAACCCAGGGGGTACTCACAATATACGGGCATGTTTTATTTCGTTTTGAATGAGAGCATGCTTTTGGTGGAAATCATACATTTGCTCCATCAGTCCTGAAAAGGGAATCCATTTTTCAATTTTCTATGAGATAGGGTTTAGGCATCCACCTGGATGTAAGCACGCATTTCCGGCCGATAATAATTCAAGTTGATGTCTTCCATACTTTGCGTATATAAAGTTTCATGTTCGTTTCATCAGAAAACAGGGAGGGAAAAGAACAAGAAGACAAGAAAGTAAAGAAAAAATGGAAAATATTCTTGCATCACTGCCAGCACTAATAGCTAATGCAGCAAAAGCAGCAAAAGATCACAGCAAGTGCTTAAAAAGAATGGTGCCAGAAATGTCAGATGATTCAGACTAAATAATTATATTTCATATTTCAAATCAACTGTAACAACTATAGTATAGTTACTATTTCATGCTTTGGGAATAAAGATTAGCGTTTACAGTGTGCGCAAMAGAATTTAAAGTATTCATAATTGGTCAGTTAGGGGTAGGGGACCAGAAGAATAAATGGTAGGGCAATGAAAGTTATTCGTTTATTTCAAGGAGAAAATAACGCATATTAATACATGTGAAAAATGTTCACTCACTACCATAGGACTCCTACAGTTTTTGAATATCGAGAACGAGTTATTTAGTATATTATGATCCCCAATGTTTATCAAAAGTTTCTATCATCCTTCTTAACACATGCTATATCGGCGACTTATCAAACCGCCAGGAAGCTTCTAACAGATGCTATATCGGCGACTTATCCAAGTGCCAGGAAGCGCGGAAAGCGGCAAGAAAGCGGGGCTGACGAGGCATATAAAAACGGCGAAGAAAAAAAACAGTGAACAGATAGAATAAGTACGATGAAACCGAATTCTATTCTTAAGTAGCAACCTACATCGATGGGATTTTTATTTACCTCTTCTTACATTTTTCCCTCGTTTCATTGCAGGATTCGGCTAATGAAACCCTCGACCTGAGGCCCATCTCCTGGATATGTCCCCGGCTCTCCGCCTTCTTCCAATCACTCGATGAAAGATGGAAGATGAACCTGACTAGTTATCATTGGCGGCAGATCATCAAGAGAGAGACTGGGCAGCCTAGCACCAGAGATTCCGCTGTTATCCAAAAGGATACGCAAGTGGACGATAGAGCCCCTTGTCGAAGATGTGCTACTAGTATAGAAAATCTTACGATCTCGAGTATTCCGAATTCATAGGTTGAGTGATGTTTTTTTAAGTTTTCGAAATTGGACGAGCTTTTAGGTGTAGAAATTCAAGTCCCAGATTCAATATCCAAGATTCACGACTCAAGACTCATGATTTCTGGATTGGTCTTCTGGAGGTTTGGAAATAACGTTTTTACCCATACTTCGACAATCTAGGAATAGTTCTTGATCATTAATTTTTTGGTATAACTTTTTCTGGCTCTGTACCTTTCTGTTTTCTCTTTTTTACAATTTAAAACGTTTTTGTCAAACATGTTTTCTGTGCACCGGCCAAATACATTGGAATTAGGTCTTCCACACCAATTACTAAGGCTTGGACAACCTGTCACCAGGGACGAAATCATTTCGGCCATTGCTAAAGTGCTTGGAAATGAGTTCCGTGCTTCTATAAAATGTATACAGTCACAGTCACACTTGTAGAGTCACTTTTAAGGATAAAACCCATAGACAACGGGAACAGTTATTCACAAAAGGAATGTAAACTAGTGGTTGTTTTTTATTTCTTCAAAGCGGTCGACTCGCCTCAACAAGTCATGACTGTTTCAAACCTCCCTTGTGAGGTAGAAGATAAGGACATCAAAGAATATTTTGAAAAGTATGGAAATGTAAACCAGATGGTGCAAAATATAGATAAGCGTGGCTTTGAAACCAGGGATAGACGCCTTTTTATGACGTTGAATGAACATATCCCTGCAAGTGCTCTCATGGACCCAATTATCGCTCATGTTCGATATCGTAGTCAATCATTATGTTGCTTCTCGTGTAGCTGGTGGGGGCATTCAAAAACAAGCTTTCCCTAAGAGGTGTCTTCAACCGTGGTGGTTTGGGAAATCAACATTCAATTGCTTGCTCAATGGATCTTATCGAATCCCCTTGTTATGCCGTAGATCATCCAGAAGGACAGGATTTTCCACAACATCCTGCCCTTACTCTTCTTGATGAGGCTCGTGAGTCGACAGAAAATCAATCTCATTCAGGGACATTATCTGCTCCCGTTCAGTTTGGTGAGACCCTTAAAGTTATAGAGCAATCCTTTTTAGAAGGTATTCCCTCGCGACCGCTTTTTCTAAATCCTGTGTCTCAGGATTCTGTTCAAACTTTTGATATACTAGCCCAGGTTGAGGTTCTAAAAGTGGTAAACATCGTGTACTATTCCACTGTGTACCAAAGATTTTAAATCAAGGTGAAGAGCATGAAGAGCTCACAAGAGAGAGAAGAACGCGTTGGATTACGGCGATCAGTCGCGGGGATACAACAACAAAGATAATCCTCAACAGTGAGCGAGTTTGTGTTACACACTTTGTCTCAGGATTGTCATCAGCTGTCTGGGATAAATATAATGTTGACTGGGTGCCAAGCCTTAACCTCGGGAAAGAACAAGCGTTCGAAACCAGCGAAAACGATCAGAACGTTGCTGTGCTTGAACAGGCCAAAAGGGCCAAGGAGCGACGAAAGCACGCTTTGGAACGACAAGAAATTGAAGCTGCAAAGAACAGAGCGGAGCTAGTTAAAAGTGGTTCATAAGATTGATTTTTTAACTTGTGCTGATTTTGCGAGTTTTCAAGCCAGTGATGAGCCTTGTTGTAGTTCATTGGTAGATCATGAAGTCGAGGACGTAGTACGGAACGAGAAAGGAACTCAGACAATACATGGATCGCGAATGTGAGGTCGCGTTGCATTGTGGGACAGAGTTCAAAGTCCAATCGGGCATGAGTCGTAAGAAATGGTGTGGAAGGTGAGTCTTGAGCTTCATTTTTAATTCTTTTTTATACAGTTTTGACTTTGTATTTTGGCTTAGAAACAATGTTTATGTATATAATAGATCTTAATAGTAWATAATCTCATACAAATATATTTAGTTACGTCTAGCTTCAACAAGCTTTTAGCAATTATTCGTTGTTTTGTTTTCAAAATGGCCGCCTACACATGAACTAAATAAGTAAACTATCGTCTGAAAACTACTTCTATAGGATATTTTTCACCATCACAATATATAAAGCAACTTTATCTTGCTTCCAACCATGGAAAAAAACCCTTTCAGAACATCACGTTGCTTCGTATGCCTTGATCACATCAGTTATTACGATATTTAAAGCTTACTTTACGTAATAGGTACGCTTATAAGACTCTTCATGGTTGGTCATCGTAATTGCGCTGTTGTTGGCTGTGGAAACAGTGGAGCTAAGCTACGAAAATGGATAAGTCAGATATGTCCAACCCACAATTGCAACCAAGGAAGAGGTCATTGCACTTGTCATGCACCTTTTACCTTATTTCCTTTCCCAACCAAATTAAACAACAAGGAACTTAGACAAAGGTGGATTAGAGCCCTGAAGCGAAAAACTGAAAATGGGAAAAACTGGGAGCCCAATGATAATTCAAGAGTGTGTTCCAAACACTTCCCTGTTGGCCACCCTACTGATGAAAATCCAGAGCCAATTCTACACCTTGGGTATTCAGCTGTAATTAAAAGACAGCTAACTAGAAAACCACCTTCTAAGAAATTGCCACTGGAATCTCCTGTACCCAAGAAAAAGAAAAAGCCTGACACTGAACAATCAGTTACTAGTACAAATGAAAACTCTAATAGTGTAGTGCAGAATCAAGATGATCAAGAACCTGGACCTTCATGTACAGCAGGTAACAATCTTGATGACACGAAAGTTGATCAATCAAAATCAGCCAGTGATAGTTCTCAACAAAATGATTTAAACAAGCCAGACGATATCTGCCAAAACCAGGGCTGCAAGATTGAGAAAATAAAGTTGAGACATGCAGTGGAGTATTTTAAAAGTGATGTTAAGAGATGGAAAAGAAGGTTTTCAAAGCAGGTTAACAAGCCATTCAGCTATCAAGCATTGAAGTCTGATAAAAAAAATCAAACATTTTACTGGGATCCCAAGCAGAGCTGCTTTTAATGTTTTGTTTAGAATGATTAAAGGCAAGGTTCCTAAACATAAGTACTGGAGTGGTCCAAGTAAAATACCTGCACAAAAAAGAAAATTTCTTAAAACACCAAGAAAGTCTGGACCCCAWAGATTACTGTCTGCTAGGGATGAGTTCCTAATAACCTTCATGAAACTTAGACTGGGGTCTACAAATGCTGACTTGGCTGAGCGCTTCAAAGTATCTGAGACAACAGTTAGCAAAATTATCAATACTTGGGTGCGCTTTCTTGCTATAGAATTGAAGTGCTTAATACACAATCCACCTAAAGACATAACACTACAACATTTGCCAAAAAAATTTGGCAAAAAGTACAGTAATGTGAGGCATATAATTGACTGTACAGAGGTATTTATTGAAACTCCAAAAGACCCAAAGGTAAGGGCTGCTACATGGTCTGATTATAAACATCATCAAACTTTGAAAGTTCTAGTTTCAATAATGCCATGTGGCACATTTAATTTTGTATCAAGCGGATGGGGTGGTCGGACATCAGATGTTGCTATCACCAGAGAGTCTGGATTTTATGACCTGCTGGAGCATGGAGATGAAGTTATGGCCGACAAGGGCTTTACTATTACTGAGGATCTCTTGGCAAGGCATTGTCGTCCGCACATTCCTCCTGGGAAAAGAGGTCATGAACAGATGACAAAACAAGCAGTGAAAAAGACCAAAGAGATTGCAAATCTGCGGATTTTTGTTGAAAAAGCCGTAAGGAGACTTAAGACCTTCAGAATATTAAAGCATGAAATACCCATCTCACTGTTAGATAAATTTGATGATATTATTGCAATCTGTGCTGCTTTATGCAATCTTTATCCAAAGTTATGTAAATAGGTTTTTTTCCTAGGAGAAATCCAAATTAGAGTGATGGTACTTGAACTTATGAAACGAAATCTTCGTATAAAACACAATAGTTTTCATATGCAGTATTACATCTATTGTATTGATTTTATGCAAAGTGCCCTTCAAAGTCCAAGATAGACTAAGAAACTAGTAAATTGCCATATCAATTTCAAGTGCCATCACTCAATGGTATTACATTGTAGTAACAGATATCTATTTTCAGCTTTCTGTGTCTTTGGAGAATTCAATTTTCTGCTGAACTTCCTCAAACACAAGTTCCTTGGCAAGGAAATTATGAAAAAAGTATTCTAAACTAGATACGAGACTGAACCAATAATCAGGATCATAATGTATGCGTTCTTGAAAATAACCATCTCGTGTATAGACAAAAAAGTCACAATATTTCCTCTTTGTCAATGCCATCTGTCCTTGAATTTGTGCAAAGTAGGGATGCTTTCTTTTTAAGGTGGTACCACTACCATTTGAGACCAGGTAGTTCAAATTTTGTTCTGTTGGTTTTTCATGGGCAATTGAGTATGGGCACTTGAATTCAGCAACTCCTGAACCACAGCAATCACAATCAATACACAAATCAGGGGAGGCACCTAAGTATATCTTTTGAGAGTCTATGAATAAACCACATTCTCTGAACTTGAATCCTGAGTGAGAATTTTTTATTAGTGACAAATATTTCTCTCTTGCAATAGGTTCAAACATGTGTCCATGCTTGAGTGCAGGTATATCTTGATAATGTGATTCATAACCCATAATTTTTTTAATGAGTGGTTCAACCTTGCAGGCATTTTCCGGATCTTCCTTGATGGAATTGACTTTTGTAAAAACAGAGTAAAAATTTGAAGCAGTTAATCTTCCTTTCCTTTGTAAAACCCACATATAGTTATTAGATAGACCAACTGTTTCATGTTCAATATTTTGTATGTTTGATTGTGTGAGAGTTGGTAGCTCATCTAAAAATTCCTCCACAGATTTAGATTTGTTTGCTAACTTTATTATTAAGTTACATGGAGGAGACTCCAAATTTGTACTTGCTTCTTCATCCTTTGTTGAATTTGTCCCTTTAATTTTCTCATAAAATGAGGTAAAGCAACCATCTGGAATCATTTCCTTTAGATTATCAAACATGAACCTGCGGTTTTTCTCTGGGGTATCACTATGACTTTCAGTTGCGAACTGCTGATGTGGTAGGTCTTGAAGGTACTGCAACAGTTGCAGAAAAATCAATTTTAGATAAACTTTTCTTTTATGATTTGCAGATAATAGAAAACCTCTAAAAAGAAGAATTTCATTTTCAAGCATTATATTTTATAATTAAAACAAGTTTATTTTGATCAAAACTAGCCATAAATAATTTTTTTAAATTCTTTACCTTTGTTAAATTTGGCAGCCCTAAAATTCATATCTTTAACTGGCAAAGGTTCTATCTTGGTTTTTTTGGATGGTATGTTCCATTCACAAAGCTTTGAAGTGCATGCAGGTTTGTTATATCCAGCTCTCATTGCTGCTAATTGCTAACATGGCTGTTATATGAACACATGAACCACCAAGTTTACAAAAAAAAAAAGTCACATATAAAATATTATTTGGGTTTGACTTGATATGGGGATTGTTTTCTTTCCTGTTGACCACATTTTTGCCTTCTATATTTTTCTTCTAATATAGTTCTGAATGAATGAACAAATGAATGAATAAATGAACAAACAAATGAATGAAGAAGCATCACAAGAATGAATGATATATAAATTTCATTTTTATTTATTCATTTATTGAAATAAAGTACTATTATTATTATTATTATTATTATTATTATTGAATGGATGGACGGATAAATGAATGAATGAATAAATGTCATGATAATTTAGCSGTGCAATAAAACTCWAGGTAAACTTACCCAGCAGTACAAGAACAATACGCACTTTGAATAGATCCTTTAACTTTCGAGGCACAAATCCAGACATTGTGAGGAGTGTCGTTGATTTTCATCGACGGTGTACATCGTGCTTTCATAAAGCAATGCTTGGAATTATCTTTGATATGATTGATGGAAATTTCTTTCAGCCAACCTGTATCATATAATCTGTAAGCTTTTCCTTCCTTGTATTCATTCAGAAGACGAGTTTGAAGTGAGATATTATTACCTGGGTGATCTTTCATAATGTACATAGTTATGTCGCTTAAAAATATTGGTGGCCATTGACTCATTCCTTTCACCTCCCCAAACCAACAATCTTTCAGTGTCAAAGGATCAGGTAAAATTCCCTCGTCTGTTGTCAGAAGTCTACTTTGTTCTTCTTTGGTTTGTTTGACTAGGGAAGCTCCTTGCAAGCTTATCGGTATTCTTTGCTCAAATGCCGCAAATACTCGAGCAACCAATTCTTGTTTTTTACCTGTCACCTTGAGTTTTCTCTTCCTGAGGAATTCTTTCAAGGCTTCGACTCTCCACATAGCAACTTCATCAAAAGATGGATGATCATTTTCGATGTTTTTGTCATTTTCATCCATTATCCGTTAAAAAAAATAACTAAAGCACGAGCCTAAAAGTCGTAAAGCAATTCTCCGGGCAAGATTTGTATGTCAACCTGTTGCAATTAGCATAAACTTATGCCCGATTGGACTTTGAACTCTATCCCACGATGCAACGCGAACTCACATTCGCGATCCATGTATTACAAAGAAAATGGTTGAAGAGTCAACTTAAACAGAAAACTTTAAAGTGGTTTTGGAAGGCTTAACAACACTGAAACACAAACGGAAGAATTTGAATACATGTTTGTGACACCTGTTTATCGATTTCTTTGATTCTCCGGACAAACTTCGGTTTTACACAGGATTGCCTTCATATGATGTCCTAAAATCTGGAGTTCATGACTATGGTCTTCATGGTTGTCACTCAAATTTATCATTACAACTTCCTAGGACAAACTTCTTAAAAAATATCTTTAAATATATAATGGAGCAGTTGCCTGGAATTCTCTGCCATTAAAGGTACGAGAATCAAAAAGTCTCCCTGTTTTTAAAAGTATTTTATAAGGGAATTCATAATTTAGTATTTGTTTGTATATATTTCTTATCTTATCTATTTACCTTTGTTTTGTATGACACGGCTCTCAGGAAGAGCATTATTAGCTATAGATGATGTGATTCCGTGTATAAATAAAGTTTATCATTATTATCATTATCATTATCATGTGAAACGTAATTCTAAAGTTAACATGATATTAACCTTAAAACTTTTATTGAGGAACTAGACTGCAAAACAGTCCCTACTTTTTCGCGCATTATCCATAAAAACGAGATAAAGTTGGGACTAGATTCCATCATATAACACCAGTGCTGAAGAATCTACATTGCCTTCCAATTACCTTTCAAGTAAAGTTCAAGATCGTTTTATTAGTATTTAAAGCCTTAGAAGAATGGCGCCATCCTATCTGAGAGACATGTTACAAGGAAAGCCTAGAGCACTCTACTCCCTGCGTACTAACAATGAAAACATTCTGTTCATTTCTCGTACAAGGTACAAAACATTTGGTGATCATGCTTTTGCAGCTGCCAGGCCGCTAACATGGAACAGTCTACCATCACAAAGTAGAGCCTAGAAACCTTACTACTTTTGAAAATAAACTGAAAACGCACCTCTTTAGAGAAGCTTTGTTATAAAAACAATTACTACTTTACTGACACTACATAATCAATTAATTTCATAGACATTTTAAAAGCATATAAAGATATATATCATAAGATATAATATATTAGATACATACTGTAACACATTTTAACTATTCTTTGTACTTATAGAAATAATTTTAAGCACATATGTTTTTCATCTAGAAATTGTAAAGCGCATGGAATTTTTATATAGGCACTAAATAAATACTTTTATTATAATTATTGTTGTCAAAGTTGTTGAGAAATTCATTTTGGAAAACATGACGGTCTATATCTTTGAGCTGACATTGGTAGACAGTGGCAACTATAAGACTTGGTAAAAAAATTTTCGATGGTATTGTAAAAAAGCGATTTAGCTTGCGCATTACCGCTTTAACGTCGTTTTCAGTGCACTGCAGCACACATCCAGAAATTCTATTTGCTACAAGATACCAAAGGATGCTCCTAGTTCTGTCAACCTGGCGACACACATGCTCAGCCTTACGACGACATACGACGATAAACAACAACAAAATCC